AGACTGATTAAGAAGAGAGAAAGGAACCAGATAAATCAAATTTGCAATCAATCAGGGAAAACTACAACAGACAAAACCTCTGACCTAGAAAAAATTATCAAAAACACTGAGAAAATAACCAAGAAAAATGAGGATAGTATAGAAATAATAAAAATACAAAACATCATTAGAGGATACCATGAACGACTATATGCCAACAAAGAAAAATACCTGGATGAACTGGACAAATTCCTGGGCACATATAATCTACCAAGAATGACTCAAGAGGACCTAGAAAGCCTGAATAGACTTATAACAAGCAATGAGATTGAATCAGTAATAAATAACCTCCCAACAAAGAAAATTCCAGGTCCTGATGGCTTCACTGCTGAATTTTACAAAACTTTTTTTTCAATTAATTAATTTTGCATTCTTTCACCGAATATCATCACTGCATACAAAATGCGATTTCCCATCCAGAATGCAATGTAAAGTGGCTTAATCATACATGTTATCATCAACAAATAATTTTCCATTTCTTGTTACTTGTATATATATATATTTCCCCATTTCTACCCACTGCCATTTTCCCCCTCCTCCCACACTGTCTCTAGTATCTGCAGTTGCTTTCCATTCTCTTTTAATTATCTTCCATTTTATTCATTCATAAGATCTCTTAATTAATCTAAATACTTTCAATAGTTAGTTCAGCTGATATTACATATCTGTGAACACAGGTTGACTTTAGGCATGAAACTCTGTGGGTAGAATGAATATCCTATAAAGTAGCACCTAGTTGAGGCTATATAGCCTACTGTGGCCATTAAGTAGGTATTTTTAAGTTTTTTTTTTAATTTCAGGAAAGACAGTTATAGCTTTAATAAATCCAAATGAAAAAGTGTTAAGAGAACTTTGCTTAAGACTTAAAGCCAAGAAACAGGTTAGGATTCTGTTTGAATAGTAAGTGCATGGACCTGTCAACAACTCAAGAGAAGACAAAAATCCTTAACTCTGGAAAATAAAGAAGAGGTAACCTCCATTCTACTCAAACTATTTCTAGAGATCCAAAAGGAAGGAACCCTTCAAAATTAATTCTATGAAGCCTCCATCACCCTCATTTCCAAAACAGATAAAGATATGACAGAAAGGAAGACCCTAAGGAAGACATACAAACAGCCAAAAAGCATATGAAAAAATGCTCAGACCTATATATCTGACGAATACAGGTTCAAAAATTTTCAACAAGATACTTGCTAACCTTATTCAACAGCATATAAAAAAGATTATTCATCATGACCAGGTATGCTTTATTCAGGAGATGCAAGGGTGTTTCAACATACAGGAAACCATAAATGTAATACACCATATTAAAAGAAACAAAGATAAAAGCCATATGATCATTTTAATAAGTGCAGGAAAAGCATTTGACAAAATATGACATTCCTTCATGATTAAGACTCTCAGTAAAATCAGCATAGAAGGATCATTTCTCAGCACAATAAAAGCCATCTATGAAAAACCTATAGCTAACATTATACTAAATTGGGAAAAGCTAAAAGCTTTTTCACTAAAAACTTGGAGACAAGGCTGCCCATTCTCTCCATTCCTATTCAGTACTGGAAGTCCTAGCCAATGTAATCAGACAAGAGAGTGATATAAAAGGCATTCCAATAGGGAAAGTGAAATTATCTCTGTTTGCAGATGACATGATCGTATACATAGAAGACCCATAGTATCCATGAAAAAACTTCTTGAAGTAGTAAATGCATACAGTAATGTGGCAGGATACACAATTAACTTACAAAAATCTATAGCATTTCTATATACTGACAAGAAATAGACAGAGATAGTACTAAAGAAATTAATCCCATTTACTATAGCCACAAAAAGTTTAAGATACCTAGGAATAAAACTAACAAAGGAAGTTAAGTATCTCTATAAGGAAAACTATGAAAACTTTTAAAAAAAGAAATAAAAAATGACAGGTGGAAGGACATTCCATGTTCCTGGATTGGGAAAACTAATATAATCAAAATGGCAATCCTATCCAAATTAGTCTACATATTTAATGCAATCCCCATAAAATTACAAGAGACATTCTTCATAGAATTTGTGTGGAATCATAAAAGACCCCATATTGCCAAAGCAATCCTACACAAAAAGAGTAGAGTGGGTGACATCTCACTTCCTGACCCTGAAATGTGTAACACAGCTGTGATAATCAAAACAGCATGGTATTGGTGCAAAAACAGACATGAGGACCAATGGAACAGAGTAGAGATACCAGAAATAAACCCCAAAACATACAACACACCGATCTGTGACAAAGGGTACCAGGCAATCCATTGGGAAAGGGAAAAACTCTTTAGCAAATTGGTATCCACCTGCCTGCAGAAAGATGCATCTGAACCCCTATCTGCCACCATTAACAAAAATAGCTCAAAATGGATCAAAGATCTAAACATAAGACCACAACCTATAAAACTACTGGAGGAAAACACTGGGGAAACTCTGGAAGACACTGGGGTAGGCCAACAGGCAAAGACTTCTTAAGAAGACCCCCAAAGGGGAACCAGCAGTTAGCGTAATGGCTATGTCGCTGGACTCCCACGTAGTCGACCACAGTTCACGTCCCGGACCCGGTGGCTTAAAACTCACGCCGGGTGCGTGTGCGTGCGTGCCCAAGATCCCGAGAGGAGAATGGAGGAGAAGGGATTGCGGCATGACCATCCCCCGTGGGGGGTGATTTCTCGCTTTCTGTCTCTATGTCTCTCTCTGTCTGTCTGGTGAGCGCACGCGCCCTACAGTGAAAATCTCTCAAAAAAAAAAAAAAAAAAAGAAGACCCCTAAAGCACAGGCAATAATCTCCACAGCCCTCAGAATGGGAAAAATTTTTTGTTAACTTTGCCTCAGATAACCAGAATACATACGGAAATCAAGTGGCTTACCCAGAAGAAAATGATTAACCCAATTAAAAGATGGGAAAATGAGCTGCATAAACAACTCTCTAAGGAAGACATACATACAGCCAAAAAGCATATGAAAAAATGCTCAATATCCCTCATCATAAGAGAGTTGCAGATCAAAACTACAATGAGATACCTCACCCAACTCCAGTCAGAATGATGAACATTAAAAAAATAATAAGTGCCAGCAGGGATGTGGTAAAAGGGGAACTCTCCTACATTGTTGGTGGGAATGTAAATTGGTCCAGCGACTATGGAGAACAATATGAAGGTTCCTTAAAGACCTTCAAACCTTCAAATAGAAATACCATATGATTCAGCAGTTCCACCTGGGTTATCTACCCAAAGGACAAGAGAACAGTCAGTTGGAAAAGTGCTTGCACAATATTTATTGTGGCATTATTCATGATTGCTAAGACATGAAACCAACTCAAATGTCCACAAACAGATTGATGAAAAAGATGTGGCACATATACTCCATGGAATACTATTCAGCCATACAAAACAACAAGGCCCTGGCATTTGATAGAAAGTGGACAAATATGGAAGATTTATTACTGAGTGAAGCAAGTCAGGCTATGAAATGGAGACATTGTATCTCCACTTAACTTATATTGACTTTCTACACTCTATGGTAGAGACTGAAAGACTGGAGGACATAAAAGGATTGAAAATTGTTATGGGCACTGGTGACAAAGTGGGAGGATAGTGGGAGAGAGCAAGAGTGAAGGATGGGAAACATGGGAAAAAATGGAGAAGTAAGACATTTGTGGGACATAGATATGGTTTGTTGCCTGTTGATGATGTTGTGTATAATATTTTCAACTTGCCTGGTGTGTGGTGTGTATAATGTTGGGTAAAATCTCTTTACCATCTAAATGATGTATAGTTATTGAATGTACAAATAATAAAAATAATGTTAAAAAGTCTTACACTCAAATATTCATACAGCATTGTTTGTAGTAGTTAAGGGTGGAAATGACCCAAATGTCTATCAATTGGGAATGAACAAATAATATACCCATACAGTGGAATACTATTCAGTAATAAAAGAAAATAAAATACCACTACATGTTACAATATGGATGACTCAAAAATGTTATGCTAAGTGAGAAAAGCCAGGTAAAAGACTTCTTATGGTACAATTCCACTGATATGAAATATCTAGAAAAGACAAATTTGTAGAGACAGAAAGTAGATTAGTGGTTGCCTAGGGCTGGAGGTGGTAAAGGGATAAGTATGCATGACGGATCCTGTTCAGATGATGAAAACTTTCACAAACTGGATGTGACAATTTTGAACAAGTTGACAAATTTACTAAAACTTATTGAACTATACACTTTAAATTGTTGAGCTTTATTGTATATAAATTAGACCCTAGTGAAGGTGTGTGTAAAGAGAGAATGGAATATTATTCATGCTTAAAAAGTAGATATCATCACATGCTTCAACCCTGGATGAATCTTCAAGACATTATGCCAAGTGAAATTTACCAATTCAACTTAAATAAGGTATCTGGAGTAGTCAAATTTGTAGAGACAGAAAGTAGAATAGTAATTGCCAGGACCTTGGATGGGGATAGGTGCAGAGTTCATGCAAAAGGAGTATAGGCTTACAGTTTGGGAAGATTGGAAAAAACTCTGGAGATAGCTACGGTGATAATACAACAACAATGTAAATGTACCTAATGCCATTGAACGGTGCACTTACAAATGGTCTGATGGTAAAATCTCTGAGACCTAGTTATTATTTGTCAAAACCCAGCCATGAAAATGTCATGACATGACTATATTTAGGCATTTTATTATAACATTTATCTTCTGACTTTGACTCAACCATGGCAGGTATAAGTTCTATAGTCAATTGTCTACCAGAATGTCAAGCCAAGTTAGCCCCTGTATGTTTGTACAAATAGCGGAGGTGCCTGTGGTTGGCCTGGCAGCTAGCCAGGGCAACTTTCCTGTCACAGAGCAGTTCTAGAGATAGAGCACTTGACAAAATGATGCTCTTTTAATTTTCAAAGACTTGACCTTTGCATTTGATTTTTATTTACAGATAGCTTTGGATACCAGTTACTGGACTGTCATTAATCATGTGTTCATCTGGGGCAGCATTGCCACATATTTCTCCATCTTATTTACAATGCACAGTAATGGCATCTTTGGCATTTTCCCAAAGCAGTTCTCATTTGTTGGTAAGTCAGTCCTACTACCTAGTGTCATGTCGCCATTTACTTATCTTGTAACTTGTTTATTTGTGTATGTTGGGACTGGGAATGATCAATGATCCTTTCTACAGGAATTGATTGATCCAGGCATCCAAAGGTTTCTGGGTTTGAAAAGAACTCCAAAAGATTAGTTGCTATTGTGCCCTCCCCCCACCTGCTCCCACCCAGAGACAGAAGAATTATTGTAGCAGCTTACAGGTTCTCAATAGCCCACTCCTTTTGCAAATGAGAGACACAGCATACCTGAAAGCCTATGAGATGTTCATATGTGGTAGAAAGAAGAGAAATACTAGACTCTCCCTTATTGCCACATTATCTCTAATATCTCTGGCAAAGTTTACCCATAGATAGGAAAGAAATGATGTGCAATTGAAAGCCTTCTAAAATTGTATGTTAGTCCATAAGTGGCATGAAGAGTGCCTCTATATTTACACAGCCAGTGATCAAGGGGCCAGCTGTGTGACTTTGGCAAGTTTCTTCTCTTTTCGGTGCTTAGTGTCTTCACTTATAAACTGAGAATATTGATGTTTCCTATTTTTATGGAAAATATGTGAAGAGTAAATGAGATAATGCATAGAAAGAATTTAACATGGGGCTAGCAGGTGCCATGGAAGTTAAGGTGGCCGGTTCCCACATGACCAACTGCATGGTTTAAGTCCTGGATCCAGAAGCTTGAGAAACATTCCAGGTGTGTGCATGCATACTGAAAATTCTGAGAAGAGGGAACCAGCAGTTAGCGTAATGGCTATGTCGCTGGATTCCCACGTAGTCGACCGCGGTTTGTGTCCCGGACCCGGTGGCTTAAAACTCACGCCGGGTGCGTGTGCGTGCATGCCCAAGATCCCGAGAGGAGAATGGAGGAGAAGGGATTGTGGTGTGGCCATCCCCCCTGGGGGGTGATTTCTCGCTTTCTGTCTCTATGTCTCTCTCTGTCTGTCTGGCGAGTGCACGCGCCCTACAGTGAAAATCTCTTAAAAAAAAAAAAAAAGAAGAAAAAAAAAATGCTGAGAAGAGAGTGGGGGTAATTTCTCACTTACCCTCTCTCTCTCTCTTTGGTGAGTGCATGTGCCCTATAGAAAAACTTTTTAAAAAAATGTATCGTTGGGAACCAGCAGTTAGCATAATGGCTATGTCGCTGGACTCCCACGTAGTCGACCGCGGTATGCGTCCTGGACC